CATGGAATTTTATATTTTATTTTTGTGCACGTTTTAACTTCTGTTGAAACTCAATGACTAGACTGAGTGAAACTGTTACAATAACACAAATTTTATGAAGCAATAAAATCCATGTAGGCCTCTTCGATCTCATTCTTTGATGACCTTATGTTAAAAGATGATTGATATTATCCATTAAATTAGATGACTAAAGGTTTGTAAATATTGAATTGTGATTAAAGTGGAAGAAGTCCTTCGAAATTGCGGGTAATACCCTGTCCAGTATTGCCATCATACGTATGTACGTTATTGATGTTGCTGCACTCTGATATATACTTTCATCCCAAGATATAAGTGAAGGAGACGCTTTGATCTACAGCTTTAAAATGAACTACTTGTGAAACTGAATTTAGAGTCTACCCTGTTTTCAAGTGTTTGGTTATGCATTATTTTATGGCACATATGCAGTACACTTTTAAACCTGATTCAGCGTGATTACTATCCTTAAGGAGTAAATCGAATTCATCCTTATTGCTACTACTAGTGCATTTCTATTGCATCTCTATCTTCTCTGATCCCTATCATGGCTTTTTTAGACCGTTTCAAGAACGGATTTTTACTATTGTAAGCATGATACACTTTATTGTATACAAGACATGCATAATCATGGCAGGCCTAATTTAGTATTACTACGATCATATTGCGCAGAATGACTTGATTAATTGTAATTTGGCGAATTTTTATATACTACTATACGTAAGACTCACGTTGAAACTATTTTCTGAAGATCGTACTATATCTTAATCAATCTTTAGTGCACTATATGGTGTCTACTACTATGGATAACATTAAAAATTTCTCAACTTTTAGAATTATGATTTAGCGATTACTGTACCAAGTAAATATGGTTGATACTATTCTCGCTATTACTCGTTCATGGAAAATTTCAATTAGTTGGATTTTGACTGAATGATTCAATGAATATTTGCTGAGGAAATGATTTATAAAAGTTAATGTACCATATCTACTAAACAAAACAAGTTTAATCCACATTATTACTTTAGTCTTAAAGTGCTTTAAACTTTAATAATTGAGTAATGTATTGATAAAATTCCATGATATAATAAACAAGCGCCAGCGGATGTAATCTCAAATATAGCCACTATACTACGAGAACCACTCACATAGGATATGCTCGCCTATCTTCTATTAGGGTTTAGTGTTGTTATTGGCTTACATACCGATATTAATTAGGCATTGCTTTTTAAAGAGATAGATAGTTTTCAAATGAATTCTTATAGAATCTATGTTACTATGGATATCGAATAAATCGTGACTTTGTCGAGAGTTTTTACCAGTCTATCGTTGTAGAAAGTGTTATTGATAGACAATGCTGCTACAAAAATATCACCAGTTATATCATCCACGTTAACTTCTCGAAATTTAGCGACTGGATACTATCAAGACTTCTAGCTATGCGCGTGTGAATTCCCTGTTTCGTCGATGTCACTAATGTTAATGTCAAAGGCAATGTAGAATAGTAACCTCAGCAAATTACAGTAGTGCTTGTGTTATATTCGAGATTTGCTCTACAACTTCAATTTAGAGTTAGTAGATTGCGAACCGATGGAGGTTATAATCCCATTCATTGCCATTATTACACTTGATTCAATCTCTCTGGAAGTCTACTATTGCGTTGACTTGCCAATGCAATGGCGAAGCATTTGTAGTTTCTCATATACTGCCCTACCAATGTATTTTATGATTTCGGTGGATAAATATTGTACTTCTAGAAGCCTTGATGTTCTAATATCATGATTTTGTAATGGGGCTGAAACGTAGATTAAGCATTGATTCGACGTGACAATATTTATACGAGTACTAAAAGGGCGAAAACTATTCCATATTATGGAAAGTAAATGTCTTTCATTTGGAATCTGCTTTAGTATCATATTGGGATTAAAATTGTCGACAAGTTACAGATATACTAGTCGTACAAGTGGATAGTGGTAATCTTCAATAAAGCAATATTCCTAGCCTTGTTTTAATTGTAGTATTCTGTATCTTATATTTCTTACAATCACACCGAGTGCTTGTTGAAATGGACGGCTACAAAGATGATAGCAGATGGGTAGTTGCTAGACTGCGAGGATAGTTATAGGAAACTAAGATAGAGACAATAAGGAATTGGTATTGAATTTTTTCTAATTTATAAGTCAACAATCCTTAACTTTTTTTTGGGGGGGGGTGGTTTTACTAAACGCAAAAATCCTTCACATAATGCTAGTCTTGCATTGATTAATTAATTAATAATGAAATATCGTAGTCTCACGTTCACTATCAGCTAAGAAACTTCATTAATATCCAGTCGTGAGTTGAAAATGGAAGTAATGTAAAGAAGAGTTTCCATACTTTTCATATCACTGAAACCCTATTGAAGTGATATTTTATAATCGCCGCTCTACCGCATAGACTTGTAGACAAGACACTTGCGACAAAGAGTAAATGACTCAAATTTGCTATTAGTAAAAGACACAAAGACTTCTCCTTCTTGAAATTTTATAGTAGTCTGTCAAAACGAGAGTATTTTACATGACATGAGGTAGACAGCGCCATGTTGTACATTTGTCCTAGCGCTCACTACTATAATTGTTATGCAATGTAATAAACAATGTAAGTATTTGGTTAGAATTTCCTGGCTTTTGAGCATTCAATGAGGTGATGAGAAAGCGATTTGTCTCGATCATTATATTAGTATTCCCTGGTAGAAGCCGTTAGTAATTTTGATGTTAATGTTGCTGTATAATAGCAGATTAGTAGGGAAAGATTTCTTGCATTACATAAGGCTACTTCTAAGTTGTGCGAAGTGCCCATTTGGAACCACGAATCTGATCCGTAAAATTCTCTGCAAACTGTCATAATGATAAGTGCTGATTTTAAAGTGAAATCACCTCTAACAGTATGTAACGAAGGTTAATATTTAGTATTCTCCTTCATAGAGTATTTCTTTATATTTGGTAGATTTAACGATGAACAGTAAGGTAATTCAAGATTTTAATGTAATGGCTGGTAAATAACATCTAAATTAGTTTAGATGGTAGTGGATGGATTGTGTCAACCACTATAATGTTATACTACTTTGCAAGACTCACTGATTGCTGTAAGTGGCTTGATAGATAAAATAGGATAAATAAATCGGTGTTATCCCCTAATCTCAACCTTGTTTCAAAGTGTCCCAATCATAGTGCAAGTTAGCAATAATAACGCTAAATTATTATAAGTACTGTATATCCTTGAGAGGTGATTTAAAAAAAAGAAACTAAATGAAATTAAATCCTTTTTCTTTCTTTTTAAGCAACAGTTGATGAATTTATGATACAGGAAATCAATTCTTTGACAAAAAGTAAACCAGCCATAACCCTCAATTCTCCACGATTTGATCTTGGTATGGTTCTACGCATATTAGGGGAGATGGGTCAGAAAAGATTTTAGCCTTATAGTAGTATGGGATCAACTTGAAAGAACGACCAGTCTACAGCACAGTTGTGTCGAATTTCTTGTTCTGAATCTGTTTTGAAAAGTTTTCTCTATATATCCATGATCATGATGCCTGAGGGAGAAAGGTTTTCTCTTTGGTAGTTAATGCATAGGGAATGCCTATGGACATCTACACTTGATAATACAGTTGCTTTTGTAATGGACTTGACAGCAGCACATGTACCAATAGCAGGGACTACTCAAGTAAAAATGTTACACTTCTTCCACCGTCTCCAACTCTTCTCTCTTACTGCTGCACAGACGTCACAGTGCCACATCTTCCTATATGCTAATAATTCATTTGCTTTTCGTATTCTAAACGAGATAGCTGTGATCTTGTTTGTGCACTAATAATCTGTGTGAATTTCCCTTGTAGGTTTTACGTGGCCTCCATGATTTTACTGGCTGTCCAATATCGCCAATCGATCAATTCTTACCGGCTATAAATCATTCATCGCAGCAAATCGATAACCATCTTCAATATTGGCTTGATTTTCTAACTGAAATAAGTTGTTTCTAGTCTTATGTTAATCGAAGGGAATCCTCCAAGCTTTAGATCGATCATCGATCTATTTCTATCACTTTCTTCTTGTTCTTTGCTCTAGCCGATAAGTTGCAATATTTGCCAGTTGTTGTATCGGAAAACTGGACATACGTATATTCGTATCTGTACTCGCATAGCTGTAGATGTTGTGCAATTAGTAACTTGGGCATTGACTAGCTTGTTCAAATTGTTATCGCCTTGTTATCGACTTAATCATTCGAGGGAGTTTACACTTCTATGTTCTACTGATACTGTACACACATAGAGTACTGTCGTTTTTATTAGTTTTTGTAACGATTACTGATTAATAATCGATATTGAGGCATAGATTATTTTCTATTACCAGTATTAATTGGCAATATCTTGGTCTAACTTCAATCTTTCAATTTTGGTGTACAGTTTGAACACCCTGTTATTTCTATAATAGCTGATAAAATTTCTACCTGCGTAATAGGAAATTGGATCCAGTATTGCTACAAAGTAACGCCTAACGATTGGCATTATTTGATATTGTATTTCTTATACAACCCTAATGGTCGATATTGATTCATCTACTGTCCATTATTTACTACAATATCTATAACACGTATAATTGGTCAATGTCCCTAGTACTCTTGGACACTGACGTTTAATAACATAAATTGATAGCTACTTAGTCATCCATTTTTTTTCATTTTTCATTTTTTACAATACATCTCGGTTAGTGTTACATGCACACAGGATTTTCTATCCTATAAACTGTGCTAGAAATTTGTAAAAAAACCAACTTTCATCCATTGTAATACCATTTTACTCAATGATCACTTATTATCATTGAAAATTGCCAACAAGAAAAATGGGACATACTCAAAGTAAAAAGAAAATCTCTAAAAAAGAAAATGGTTTCGATTGCATTAGCAGTAGTAAAACTTTCGGCGGCAAAGTCATCCATTACATTCATGAAAAACATGAAGCGCCAATTTTAAGCATTGAATTTTCACCCGATGATACCTTCATTGTCACCACTTCTGCTGATAGTACAATTGCTCTGTGGGAATTGAAAAGTGGCCGATTATATCGAGTTTTCAAGCAACATAAAAAAGCTGTAACTTGTTGCTCTTTTAGTTCCATTGATACGCATATTTTGGCAAGTGGTTCAGAAGATCATTTAGTTATGTTATGGAATATTAAATTAGGCCGTCGCGTTGCACGATTTGAAGCTCATGAAAATACCGTCACGGCATGCACATTTTCACCTGATGGTAAATGTTTAGCCACGGCATCGAAAGATTGTACCATTAAATTATATGATATTGTACCTGGTAGTGGACAATATATCAATGGTAAATATCTATGCCTAGAAGGTCATGAAGGGCCAATTCATTCTGCCCAGTTTTCTCCTGATGGAATTTTATTAGCCACTTGTTCTGACGATCGGACAATACGATTATGGAATCGCGTTTCCGGTAAGATTACTAGTATTTTAACTGATCCATATAATCCGGTGATACAGTGTCGATTTAGTGGCGATGGTGGTGAAATTGCATCCTGTTCTGGTAAATGTGTTCGGGTGTGGAATACAATGTTATGCGAAATAGTCAACATATTAGAGGGATATCATACTGAAATGGTCACGGTAAGTCTATAATTACATCGCATCAAAGTAGCAGTAACTTGATAGTTTTATATTATATCAAAATGAAGTATAGTGCGGTAGTAGAGTACATTGGCGTAGAACAGTGTGCAAAATGAAAAGAATTTGGAAATAACTACCGACTCTAACTACGATAGAAACATCATTATCCTCTAAATATAGAATGTAAACCGTATCTATGCAATGGATTGGTAGGCTTTTCGTTATGTGGATTTATGTGACAATGTTAGGATTGTTATATATTTAGTTAATCTGTATATCAAGTAGTGAATCTCTTTCGAATATTTTAAATGATGCAAATAAACGATATAATCGCAGAACATGGATATGGCTAGAAAAACTATGTAAATTATTTTTATTCGCTTTAATTACTCCAACGAACGAAATATCTAAAGGGACGCTATGTTGATAGATTTAATGCCATGTTTCTTATGAGGATGTTGTATGTAGCATTATTAATGATGTAAAACTTCGTTCTACTGTTACTATTTGTAGCTGTTATGCAATCATGCTAACACTATAAATAGATTAAGATTCATGATATTCATGTTTTTAATGTCGTTGCTTTGCATACATGTCATTGATACGAAACCCGGTAATGCCATAATTATTATGTATTATATATAGACAATTGCATTTTCAGCTGATGGAAAAATTGCTACGGGGTCTACTGATCGAACGATATGCATCTGGGAGGCGGAAAAGACTGCGCTGAAATCGACACCATTGCACGTGTGAGTAAATATAGGGACTTATAAGAGAAAATTTTTAGATTCTTTAAAAATCCCTTGTAAATAGAACATGCATGAACATATAGGGACAGTTTTATCGCTTTTAGTGATGTTAAATTATTCCTTTACACAAAACTATAGAACATAGTTATTACTATAAAACGAATTAGTCTTAGGGTAGAATGCTATAATAATATTTATAACCTGGAAAGAAAGTAGTATTACATTTGTACTTTCTCTTTAATAGTATATAGATTACATCCTTTAATATTCAAGTGACTTCTGCTTGGCCAATTTAAATAAATAAACTTCTTCATACCATGCAGAAATTAGAAAAGATATCGATGCTATTCAATGTAGTATATTATATAATTATTATTACCTGTGAGAATTTTACTAATGTATTAATGTACACACTCTCCTATTTCAGTCTGAGATCGAAATCTGCTGTGAGAGCTTGTTGTTTCTCGAGATCGGGAAAATATCTATCTTCTGGAGGCGACGATAATGCATTATCAGTTTGGAAATAATAACTTATTTATAAATTGCTGGTAACAATGATTATTGTTTCGGGATAAATGTTATTATTCTCTATCTAATTAAAAAATTACCATTTTAATACTGAGATTGGCTCTAATTTTGGCATGACCGTGTAAAAATTACGATATAATTCACTTTCATGAGATAATAATTCATCAACAGATGGAACCTTTATTGTAAGACTAATTTATGCCTTAAACACTCGCTTTGCCCGGTTAATTTATATTTTACAAACATGAAAAGATCACAAAGCGAACTTTATATTTCGGAAACTGCGGATTAATTGTTTGTGCATCCAATATTTAAAATGTATACCGAAAAATCTGGATGTTTATTAATACTTCTTTATTTCTTACCGTGCACGATGAAAAATGTATTAGTACAAGATATAGTTATAGGCGAACAGATTTTGTCTTGTTAAAATTTAAATTAATTTGTACAAAAAACATCGGAGCTTTCTTTGTTCATAAGTTTAGTTAACTCAATCTTAGCTATTCCTACCCTATCCATAGATCTGGCCGCTGTAATATTGGCTAAAATAATTAATGAGTGATGACCACGTAGCAATTGCTACGTATTAGTTCTAGTAACTAATTATGCATAGATTGAACAGCTAATTTTTAGGGTGAAATATGATGGATTTTAAGGAATTACTACTTCATGGATGCTTAACTTTATTTGCCTTTAATTATATTATAATCCTTTGGCCTGAATCGGAACAAATGTAATAATAATTAATCGATAATACTTGCAGTTTATCTTAAAATGCTAAGTGCTTACTCCCCTTACACAAGATTGGATTGAGCAGGAATCTTTAGTAAATATTCTACTATTCTGGTTGTATGGCTGAATAACTGTAATCAAAGTTACTACATTTACTGACGTAATAAAGTAATTTATAAGAAGTTTTAATTAGATGCACTAGCATTCATGTACTGAGCAATGGCTTACCTATTGAGTACAATTTCTCTCTAACATGTTGCTGTTGTATGCTTAACTACATGAATTCAAATTTTTATTGCATGCAACAGATGAAGAGAAATAGAAGCGTGGGTTTTTCTTTCGTTTTGTAATCAAATATGATCAGATATGAAATCGAATACGATCAGATATGGTAATGGCTTAAAACTTTAATATTTGTAAGAGGCTCTTCTAGTTAAATACGGTTTTTATTGAATTCGAAGAGAAGAATACCACAATATTAAACGGCTGACATTGCAGTCAAAATATTTTGTTACATTTTAGCAAGGGAATCTTTTTATTGGCTGTATCAAGAGGCTATAATTTTCAATGATATAAAGATTTTTAGGAGTTTTAGATTTTATACTCGAAAAGGATAAAATTCAACTAACACTCGCTTAATAAGTCACTTGCAGCGATACAAAATACAATTATCGCTATTCAAGTAATTTGAGCTATACGATTTTATATCGATAATATGAATGTGCTAATTTAGGATCCTTTAATTTAAATTAATTAATGCAGATTAGAACTTAATATTTACAAAAACCAATATAGTAATATATTAACTCTACTTGTGCTTTCAAAATTGTGTACAGAATCGAATAAATAGTACCATAGATGTATGATAATTACGCTTTTTTTCGCTAGCTTAGAAATAGATTTCAGGTAGTATCAGTTGTATTATTGGATAATTCGTAACAGTAGTGAATGCATTCGCGTATAAAAGCCGCTAATTCGTAATTAATAGTTAATGAAGCTCTGCTTTTAAATTTTTCGATATTTCTTAGATCCAAAAACGACAACTATGACATAATTTCGATCGAAAAACTTTCGCATCTGCAATATAGATTTATGCAAAAATATGAGTCACGTTAAAGATTTCTTTAGTACATGAGAATTTTGCAATCATCGAAGTCAACACGTTTTCTTATGTTGTTAACCGATATTACAGTACTGAAAATAGGTTAGTTCTAAGCCAAACCAAATTACTAGAAGTGGGGAATGAAGTTTAGCTATGAGTAAAAGATATCATTCTTTTCATGCACGGTTAATGTAACTGGAAGATCGAATTTTAAAGGAGACAGCTTTTCAATTACATCGATAATTTCTGAAAATCCTGGAATAAATATATGTAATAAATGTTTTAGTGTTGAAGAAATACAATAATAGTAGACTTAGGTTTATTTAACATACCACCATTAGCTACATAAGCCCAACTTTGATAATGAGCTTCCATTAAATTACGAGAGCTACTAATCAGTTTACACCATTGAGTTAGTTTTTGAGAGCTAGGAGCATAAATAAGGTTCATGTCAATTTAAAAAAATTGGTTATTTAGGTAGCTATTTAAGGCCCAGTGAAATTTATGAGTGCTTTGATTAACTTACTGTAAACCTGCAAATATAAGGGCACGCAACTAAATCGAAAATATTGAAATTTCAAAATTAGTGTGAGTAGTAATTATAGGATAGCATACAAACAATAAAGATGACATGAATATTAAGAAGAATACGCAATAGGACTGTTAGAGCAAATCAAATTAGGCATAATTGCCAAATTTACAAGCAATAATAGAGTTACCTTAAAGTCATCTGTCTTATAACGTACTTCTGGAGATGATATAATATCGTACACGGTCGCAAGAAAAGTCTAGTGAGAAATTAAATTAGCTTTCAGTGCACCAGTTGTACATTGATTGAATATAATTACTGGTTAATATACCTGCTTTACAGAATTAGATTTTATTCCTACAGCATCATTTCCGAAAGAATGCGATAATCTTCTAGCTGGATTCTCATTATAGTTACTACCGTGCCTACTATTGTAGAATCTAACAAATAATTGCCATGGGTGCATCGCATTACTAGTATCCTCGTTATTTGATTTCATGAAAGCGAAACAAGACATAGGAGCTAGGAGACTAGTTTCGGTTGTCTGGATGAATCACAAATAAATAATATTTGGTTAAATATTTACATTGTTCTAAATATTAATTTTAAGATTATCGTAAACGAATAAGTACATTACAATACCTCACATAAGCCGTGTTGTAGCAACAACGTAAAATTATTTGTAAAATGCCTTGAAATAATTTTAAATAATTCATTGGGGGAATTTGATGTAATCTAAAGATAGATATATGTAGCAAATAACGTAAAATTTAGCTAAGACTTGAAAGGACACGTTTAATAGTCATAATTTTAAATAAATCACAATTACCAAATCTAAAGATTTTTGAAGTTCTCCTCTTTCAACCATTTGGCATTTAACAGCGATAATTCTATCCACGGCTTCATCCAGTTTGGAAATGGTATATCTAATCGGTTAAGACGTTAAGACTCTGTTAATTGATCGGAAGCATTTTGTGAAATGGCGAATCGTACGACAAGTGTAAGTCCAATTACAGATTTCTTTATACCTAGTATCTATTTTGGTGGGTACTAGCGGTTTTACACCAATACGGAGGTCATCCGATCTAAGTTAAAAAATTTTTTAATAACCAGTGAGCTGCTATGCATGTGCTGTATTATGATATAGCATTCATCGATAATGCTAATATATAATATAGTCTTACCCTCCTCCAAAAATATCTAATATTTTCAACATTCTTCTAACAAAAGTCATTTCAGGTTCTTTTACCTAAATGCAACAAACAACAAGAGCACTAAATGATATGCTTAACCCTTAAATAGTACAGTTAACAAAATTCTTTATGTATATAGATTAAATAATAAACGAAATAGTTAGCTTGAAATTAATATAAATAAATAACGCTTGAACTATTTAGCTCTTACAATGATCATAGCTTACATTGGCCGTAGAAGCCTGAAGTTGTCTTTTCGCATCTATGGATGAAATGGAATCTGCATAGTAACTCAAATCATCATTTGTGTCATACGAGAACTCATCATTGCTAACAACTGATTTTCTGCTTGAAGCGCGCGGAGGACTCGATACAGATTGCTATTTATGTATTGGATGAATCATTAGGATTAAAATAAGGATGATGCATGGAGGTAAATAATGTACATGGTTTGATATTTTATGGATTTTAAAATAAAACTTATAGATAGCTAGGACTAAATGACAAAATGCCTAGTGCAATTGCTTTACCTGGGATGGATATGGCATGCCCATCCGAGTAAATCTTCCATAAGGACCTGGACTATTTGTGTCACCTTGTAGGTAGGATATGTAGCGCTCTAGATCAATAACTTGCGTGGTCAGCTGCTTGACTAACTGTTCCTGAAGTAATATCCGAAAGAGTCAGTTGAGGATCGGTGTTAAAGTATTTAAGAGCAAGTTATTGAAGCTATACTACTATTATAACCTTTGATCTCACAGGACGGATTAACTAATGAATAGAAGATGAAAGAGTCGGATTTAATGAAAGTTTATAACCGATTTAGAAAAAAAGATTTATACTTTATAGTATCATTAAAACAGCCTTAACCTGCTTAACAGCAAAATCGATTTTTGATTTTAAATCTTCAGCTCTGGATACAGTATTAGTAGTCAAGAACATATTAAAAGGAGAATAAGATTATCTGGGAACAGAAACCTATTTTTAATCAATTATTAAATGGTAAATCATTTTACTTTAATGAATCGAAACTATCCAACTTGATACCAAGGCGATTCCTAAGTTTAAATTATGAGTTTAAATTTCACATTAATCGATAGTCATCAGAACGATGGATGAAGTATTTTTTTGTTTTAAATTCAAGCCTAACCTTAACTCATCAATGATAACACGTTGTTTATCATGTAGATCGTAATTGGGTCTACTTACGGTGGATCTAGCACTTTCCTAAAGTTGATTGTATTTTTAATTAATTATTTCATTTCATTAACATTTTGCAGATAAAATAAATCAATCCATTGCGTATCAAATCATTTAGATTAGAATTACGTGGTCGTTAATTGCACATAGCGTGTTAATACCCGAATTACCTGAGCAGCGTAACGCTCCAAGTCTTCTAACTGAAGTTTCAAGTGCGTGATTAGTTTTTGCTGACTATCTTTTTGGCGATCTAATTTCTGCTCGTATTCACGATGGCTCTAGGTGAAAGCAATGGAAAAACAGGAATATAGATAAATGTTTTAGTCTAATAGGTAATGTTGATTGAGCCAAAAATGAGAGGACAAATAGAAACAAATATATAAGGTAATGTCGTACCATTTCCTCTACTACAGCTGTGGGATTAGAACCGTTGAGTTCGGGTATTCCTTGAAAGGCGAATCGTTCAAGCTCGCGTAGAAGTACCTTAAATAATAATTATGGTATAAAAGATATGAAACAATGTTAATTTTAATTGTTTACTCAGATTGCCTAAAATCACTTTTTTCGCCAATATAACAATACCAGCATAGGTCATGAATTCAAAGTTTTTATCTTACCTCTTTCTCTTCTTGGTCAGCTTCGACTATTTGTCTAAGGCGAAATTGAACCTATGTAGGTTGCGAAATAAGTTAATTAAAATAGACGATTAAGAGATGAGAAACCCAATTTCAATCTAATTGCATCGTAAAGTGTGGCATGATTGATAAAATCTCTTATGTTTTTAGATTAACTGTTATCATAAAAGTGTCACGTTGCTTCATAATGGATTTAATACTGCTTGGCGATACGTTTTATTGGCCAGTAAGACTTATCATTCCACTTTTACATGAAATTTTGACGTACCTGAGCGAAGTGTGTTGTTAAGGCTAGTAGAGATCGATTAAGTTGCACTTGTTCATCTTCTACATTTTGAAATTTATCTAACCTAAAGGTTTATCAAGCAAAAAATTGATTCACTAGCTATGCAGTATATTGATAAAGTAGTAAAATTCCAATTATGTTTGGCATTATTATAACTTAGCGTTATAGTCAGTAAGAACAGAACATGTGAGTGAATACCAATCTTATTCGTTAATCGTAGGACGTCATACGTAAGCACAGTGTACATAGTAAAAGTTGTTCTGACAAATTTACGCGATTACTTTTGCTTCTTTTGCATTCACGTATTAGATAGTATGATTTCTCAAAGTATGGAGTGTTGCATTAAGTAGCTCTTTATGACAACTTTAGCATAATTTCTAGAATCACCCTGTCAGTAATTATATCCGATTATTTATAGACAGACCTAAAATCCTTCGGCATCGATTGTTCGCTGATAGTCTGAGTAATAGAACCTATTGAAGTTGCATCGTTTGCAGGAGGCCAGTTTTCATCTATTGCTGGTGCTTTGCCACTAACAACTTGAAATCCGTCGAAATCACTATACATTGCTTCTTAAATTTCGATGGCGCCGAGAGATCTTAAAGCATCTGCCAACATCAATACAGTACTTACTATTTAAGATATTCTAATATTTAAACAAATTTGTTTACTAGGTCTCTAAGTAGAAAAGACCGAAATTGCTCTTAAATTAAATTACATTTCTTAGAATTATATGAGATATAAATTGAGGTAGAAAAGTGTAATGAAGGACGTATAAACCGAATTTAGGGTAGTTTGAAATATAAATGCAAATGATATACTCTTAAGGCCTTGGAAATTTGTTAAGAAGTCATAATTTTATCAACAGATGTTACAATTTTATCTCAATAATTAGGGCGTGAAATAGCGAAAGGAAATGGCTCTCAAAAGCAATTACCAACTCAATAGCCATCTCTCTAAATTAATACATACTGCCTATTAAGATAAGTTATAAATATAAGCTCGTCAAGGACATATAATTTATGTCGTAAAGGACGTTTTGTAGTATTTGATATCTTAGGTCATTAATGTTTGATATTCAAGCTCTAGTAATAGCTATAACTGTGCACTATAAGAATCAATGTTCTATAATCATAGTTAGTTAATATGCTTGCTTTGTTTACTTTAGCCCAAACTGATAGCAAAATCAACAACAAGGCAGGCCCAACTCTCTTGCCACTAACGATATCATAAAACCCTTAACTTAAAGCGATGAATTTAAAAAGTGTTATAATAGCCGATTATAATTATGATTAATTCAATGTCGTATTAATCTACTATACAATCGCGATAACTGTCTTCTAATGTTCGCAAATGTAAAAGGAAACAGATTGTACTGTATAGGATCAATTTCTTATTTTTCTGTTATGAAAACTCTTGCATATGATAAAAAACTGAACAAATAATTAGTACGATTAGGATGGACTTTGAAAGTTTTAGTTGGAAAGTTGATATAACGGTATTGTCAGATACAATAGGATAATGAAGAATAAATTTGAATTAGGGTTTTCTGTTTTCTTACTTTTGCTGTACTATTATCATTGAATGCGTAGTTTTTTCTTCATCAATGGACCAATGTTAACTATTATTAATTACCGATTTAATAATGGTGGTAGCGGTATCGAATTTAGTTCTACTTCTAATCTTTATTTTACGGTAAGCTTACTTGAACGAATTAATGGTAACTTACCCCCCCCGCCGACAGATCGATATGGTTATTTCAACATGCCCCATGTCATAATTGCGTTATATTGAGCCGTTAAGACAATTTAGAAATTCATCTTCTGTTCAGAGAAATATGCGAGACTCACGGCACGAAGGATAGATTAATATTGTCAAGGAAAAGTAATACTTTAATTGTAAGAAGCACAGTAAACTTGATATTACATGATTATATCATGATATCTATTCTTTAATGTCATCAGTGCTACCGACAGCGTTCGATGAGTAGAAAACATGACGTCAGGGGAAAAAAAAATAAGCAACTGAAAGAGTGAGGCAATAATTAATATAATATGAGTAAATTAAAAGACGATATCATGTCAAACGTTACTTGATATACGTGGAATCATGCCTACAGGTGTACGGTAAAGTGCGCTAGATATTGTTGGAACGATTAATCAAGTAGCAAAAGGAACAATCGTCTTGTTGTATAGGCGTTATAGGTAATGGATGAATACGAAATACGAGTAGACATGAAAGAATGATACGAATATCAATGTCTTAATATTGATAATTTGCTGAATGCTACACTGAATATTGTAGTTTCTTCGAAGTGATCTTACACAAAATCTTCAGTATCCAGTATTAACTGATACTTGTTCATTAAATTATCATTATTTCCAGCGAGTGTCATAGCGGACACGTTCTATCACGTCAAGACATGCAAGGCCCATACCGTTCTCCACTTACTGTAAGGGCAGTTTTGTGCCTTTAGTTCTCTGTATTTTTTACATACTTGCTGCTGGAGATTTCTATCATAGTAGGTACTAAATGAGTGGAAACTACTTCTAAATGAAGACAATTTATACCATACGATTCAGTTGGTTTAACGATGTGAACGGTCCGCGATTCATTGAACTTATTTATAGCATACGAGTACAGTAGATAGTGGACTACGGGTTTGCAGTCGAAAGCGACTTCATGGCTTCCACTTTGAAGTAGAAATAATCTTTGGAAAGTAAAAGCTCTACATCGACACGTTACAGTGGTGTACAAGAGATTGTCATCACAGACTAAGCAACGCATTCCAATTTAGGTAGAATAGCTCTATCGACTGCAGTTATGAGGAATCATGTTGTCATTTGTTGAATGTTTTCAATGAACGGCGAGTATGATTGAGATTGAATCGCTGTCAAAACAATTCTGAATTGATGCTTACACGAAAGGGGGCCAGTATTGGTCTTGGATGTGGAATCAAATTGTACAATATCGCAATAGCCTTGGTAGTCTTGTCCTATATCATATACGTAAGTACAATAAGAGTGTGGCGAACAACATCCACTATGACTTTTGAAATGGATTGGCAAAGTATCCAAATGGATAACTCCGTGGATCTGTTATAGGAAAACACTTTTACCAACTAGTACTGTGCTGTATAACAGTGACAACAATAATTCATGACAATAATAAGCGTAAACCAACTGGGGGCTTTACCAAGTTCTATGAACAGCTGTGAAATTTTCCTCTCGTAAAACTGCTAGCCCTAAAGACGTAATCCAGTAAAGAGTCCTGTCATTATTTCAGTTGCTAGAATAGAATAGTAACTATCGCTTGGATTTTTGTCATTTGTAGTGTAACTTCTGCAGCGTTTACTTTTATCCTACCCGTCTTGACAACTTGCCATGTCTAATGGTATTACACTTTCAATGAGGCTACTACCAGTAATAATTGTACGACTATACTACTCTAAAATGCAATACAAAAACAACACCAAGACGCAACAACAAAGTCATCCTGACAAATTCATGTGGATAATCCATTGGAAAATATTTCATTTTGTACTTACTCAATGATTTAAAAATGGCAGACGATATTCTCCGTTAGTGGATCAATGGAGAAGTAGAAGAAGAGGATATAGTGAGTGATAGCGCTGACCGACGTTGGAGTGACGTACATCGCAAGGGTACGTACACCCGTGTCCATTCACACCAGATGCAGTCGATCGTTGATAGTACGTGTGCTGTCGGTTGAAACCAAACCACAAGCTTGAGTACAGTACTGTAGAACCCTTGCAGAGTCTCTACTCTACAGTACAGTGTACTGCGTAACAAAGGCTCGTGATGGACAAGTACTGTACAGTACTGTATTTACAGTATACAGTACAGTACAGTACTGCGTAACAAAGGCTCGTGATGGACAAGGACTGTACACATACAGTACTGCATACTGTACTGTAGTACTGTAGAACGGAGTCTCTACTCTACTCTACAGTGTACAGTACTGTACTGCGTAACAAAGGCTCGTGATGTACAGTACTGTAAATTACCGTACTATACTGTACACTGTACAGTACAGTACAGTACTGTAGAACCCTTGCAGAGTCTCTAGTCTACAGTGTACAGTACTGCGTAACAAAGGCTGTGCGTAGCAATTATGACTATGCGATTCGACTCTCCTTCCAAAATGGTATAAAGTATAGTCATTTTACATGAGTTTCAGTACTATTTTTTCCCTTGTTCGCAGTCTGAAAAGAAAGTAAACACATCGTACTACCCACATACTATACGCGGTAACGGACAGAAAGGACACAGTTACAGGACGATTACAATAGCATCGTTGCAAATTGCTGAACTGCATGCGCTGGTCAATGTCATGGGATAGGATTGGAAAGTCAAAAAAATTTTGCTAGCATGCATTGCATAATATACGCCAGCATTTGTAATAACATGGTATAACGTCAACGTTGTTTAGTAGAAAAATTTTCATTGAATAATCAAGCAAAGGCACATCCATTCGTGATAAACAAGCCCATGTAGAATATTATATCATAACTATAATCAAGAATCTTTGCTACAGTCTACGAGCCTTTCCTTCTCTACTCATTGTATCGCAGCATAATTATTCACAAACCGTATACTTCAACTAAACTAGAATAACAAATACAATAAAACGTATCAAGAATATCATTATCTAATTAGGCTATTAAAATAGCTTCGTAAATGAATATTATTCAATTGCATAGGACGACCCTTCCAAAAAAAGTCCAAATGCTTTCAAACAGAATAGCTATAGTGTACAACACACCTATTCACATCGTTGAAAGATGGAATCTTTGCAAATGTATCGTGATTACTTGTTGCTAGGTCACTACTGACAAAATATACACACAATAAGTACAATAGTTGCATATGAAATTTTTAAAATGCAATAGTCACAGCTTATATCAATGAAGGACTGTGAACTTCAATATTTTACTGAATTGACATAACTAAATACCATAATGTCGTTTGTTGTAAAGAGCCAACTACAGATTTTCCTGCTATCTCATGCAGACATATAAAAAGTACTATAAGGATAAGTACAAATGCTTTTACATAGTGGAAAGAATTTCATTCAATAGTCAAATTAGGTAGCGTTACAGGTGCAGCTAAGCTGTGTACAGGTGTAATAAACAATATAATCCAATTAAATAGTAGTGCTAGAAGTAAATATCTCAGTATAGCCATCAATAAAAGACTTCAAAATTGAGGTCCATTTCGCATTATCTTGAGCTATACTAGCAGTGCTGATAGTAATCCTAACAAACGTGGGCCAAAAGACAATTGCCAGGTTTTCACTGTTCATTTTGTGAACATTATTATCACATATTCTATATGGAATAATATGTAAATTATGATGATCAATAATATTCGTGATCGTTTACACACGCAGTCGCACTAGATAAATTGCCATTAATCTACATCGATAACCTAGTTACAATTCTATACATGTTACCTTCTGAGATGTTCCAACATAAAAGAAAATACTGCCAAATTTACTTCCGAGAATTTCTTAATGATTGATCTTAGATTTGAATACTTCTCATCTTGCATTTGCATATCTAATAAACAGGCAATAAGGAACTTAGCCATGCAGGTAGGTTATATACAGTTATGTATCAGCATTCTACTTTGATATCGTACCAGCACATTCGAGCAATTGGTCGTACACATTAGTGG